GTGCTAAGTGCTATGAAGAAGAATAAAACCAGAGAAAATGTTAGAGTGATTTGACAGTTAGTGCGTTTATAGTTCAGGGTGTCAAGTCCTTCGGTCTTGCTGAGGCAAAGATGTTTGCGTATAGACCTGAATGAAATTAGGAAATGGCACACAAGGGTCAATAAATATTTGTTGAATGTGAATGAATGCAAATATCTGGGAGAACAGTATCCCAGGAAGAGGCAATAATAAGTGCAAAGGTCCTGTGGCAGGAAGAGGCTTAGAATGTTTTTAAAACATCAAGAAGGCTCTATGAATATTTATGAATAGAGTGCTAGGGGGTAAAGTGTACTGAGTCTGCAACTTACTTTAAAATTCATTAAAAAATAAGATGGATAGATGGATAGAAGGTTGGATGGTTGGATGGATGGATGGATGGATGGATGGAATGATGGATAGATATGTGACAAAGCTAATACAGTAAAATGTTAACAGTAGAATTTAGGTGCCAGGTATATGCATGTTCCCTTTCAGCTTTACTTTGTGTTTGAAAAATAGCAGAATACAGTGTTGGAGGAGAAACATTAAGAAGGCTAATGAGGCCACGAGGGAGGAACTGAGTGAGGGAGAGAGTGGTCCGGAGTGAAGCTGCAGAGGGTTCCAGGCACAGAGCACAGAGGGGCCTCAGCTGGTGTGAGAAGACATGGGGTTGGCTCCAAGCACAGTGGGAAGCCTTCAGAGGGATTTCAGCAAGGGAGTTTCATGATCTGATTATGATTTTAAAAGATCCCTTTTGCTGTCCTGGGGAGAACTACCCGAGCACAAATAAGAGGGGGAGGCCTGGTAGAGGGACAGCAGTGGTCTGGAAACAGGGCATTGGCAGTGGAGATGGTGAGATGGGTCCGATTCAGGGGACACTTCAGAGGACTTGCTAGTGGCTAAGACCTGTGGTGCTCAAGAGCAAGGCCGTGGCCTGAGCAAGCAGGCAGATGGTCTATTTCCCAAGATGGGGAGGGTGAGAGAAGTAAGTTTGGGGAGAGGTGTGTGGGAGAGTGATAAGGGGGAGAATCATGTATTCTCTTTCAGGTATGATGAACCGAAGTAAGAATTTCCTAATAAATGGTGGCTATGGTCACCCTTTCTACCGCTCACACTCACATAATGGCATCTGCAATCACACACGCCCTCTCTCTGCCTGCAGCTCCGTTCTGCTCCTCCCTTTTCTTCTTTTCTTCCCTTACATTTCCCATTCCTCCTCATCCCCACACTCCCAACTCCAGACCACCCCCAGTGACTGCGGGAGGCTCTGGAGATGCGGAAGGTGGGACCTAGGCACCCAGGCAGCCCCTCTAGGCTCCTCCTGGCAGGAGCAAAGCTCTGCTTCCATCAGCTCCTTCACTAGTGTGGGGAACTGGGCTCAAAGGACAGTGAAACCCGAGAGCACACAGCCCCCTGGGTGCAGCTTCTGGTCTTGCAAACCCTCCAGCCTTTTTGTCTCCATAGCTAGGTGGGCAGACAGGTGACCGGGTGGCGCTAGCCTATGGCTGCTGTAAGATTCCAGGTGGTAGCAAAAAGGAGGACAGAGATCTCCCCATTTCCCTGAGAAGGTAACTCTGAGTCAAGATATGAGTTAATGGGGCCCATTTAGCTATGCTGTCATCTTACGTCAACTGTGTTAGAATAGCCTTTAAAGACATTTGTAGGGGCTCCTGGGTGGCTCAGTGGGTTAAGACTCTGCCTTTGGCTCAGGTTATGATCTCAGGGTCCTGGGATCGAGCCCCACATTGGGCTCTCTGCTCGTCAGGGAGCCTGCTTCTCCCTCTCTCTCTGCCTGCTTCTCTGCCTACTCATGATCTCTCTCTCTCTCTGTCAAATAAATAAATAAAATCTTAAAAAAAAAAAAAAAAGACATTTTTTAAAGCCATCTGGGGAAGGCTGGCCTCACTGCCTGAAGCCCGGTCCCTGTAGAAGGCTGCCGCAGGCATGGAGGACTAGCCACAGCTCACAGGAGCCCTGGCATAGTCTTCCTGAGCCAGCTGCTTACAGAGGGGAGCCCTAACGTGCCTGTGGGTGTGGTGGGATTAATGGGAGAGATGAACAAAGGAGGTTCCTCCTTCTGCTCTTTGATTTTCTGTGCTGCCCATAGGCCTTAGAAGTGCATTAGCTCTGGTAACAACTCTCCTATAGAGCTTAACTATGTGCCAGGCACTGTCGCAAGCACTTCCTATACAGTAACTCATTTAATCCTAACGGCCCTCTAAGCTGTGTGCTATTATTAGCATTCCCATTTTACAGAAGAGGAAACTGAGGCTTAGGAAGGAAAAATAAGTTCTTCAGGGTCACACGGCTAAAAAATAGCAAAGCCAGGTGTTCTAGGCTTAGCTCCTTGATGGGCAAGTAGCTGGCTGGATGGGCAGATGCAAGATAATCCATAAGGAACAGAGCAATCCAGAGTCAATGCGGGGAAGGTAGCTGCAGCTAGAGAGATCAGGGGTCACTTGCATTACTCTTTTATTGTATTAGAAGTCAATGCATTTATTATTTTTATATAGGTAAATATATACATAAATAAATGTATTTTTTTTATAGTGTCAAACATCTTTGTGCTTGGTTGGAAGTATAAATACGTTAATACTCACAGCTGGTTTTCTATCAAGTATGGGCATCTCTTAGGGTACAGCCTTAACACAGATTAAATAAATCATAGGCATAGCTCCCCTGCCCCCCAAAAAGTCTCTTTCCAAACCTCACTAGCTATATGGCCTTGGGAAAACAACATAAACTCTCTGTGGCTTAGATTTCTTGTCTGGACCTACCCCATAGGGGAAAGCCACTAGTAATTATAATCATGAGAGCAACTACCAGCTGAACACCTCATGTATGTCTGTACTATGCCAAGGACTTTCATACATGATAGCTTTTAAAAATCTATTTAAGTCTAGTATATTTCTTTTTTAATTGAGATGAAATTGACATATAACATTGTATTAGTTTCAGGCAGACCACATAACACGTATTGCAAAGTGATCACCCCCGTGAGTGTAGTTAACAGCCATCCATACATCAAAGTGTGCATGTAGTCACCAGACATAGTTACAAATTTTCTTTTCTTGTGATGAAAACTGTTTCAGATGGGCTCTCCTAGCAACTTTCAATGCAATGCACTATTATTAGCTTTAGTCATCGCGCTCTACATTCCATCCCCAGGACTTACTTATTTTATAACTGGAAGTTTGTGCCTTTTGACCACCTTCACTTACTTATTTTATAACTGGAAGTTTGTGCCTTTTGACCACCTTCACCCGTTTTGCCCACTCCTTACCCCCCGCCTCTAGCAACCACCAGTCTGTACTCTGTATTTGAGAGTTCAGTTTGTTTTTGATTTTAGATTCCACATATAAGCAAGATCATATGGTATTTGTCTTTCTCTATCTGACATATTTCACTTAGCGTAATATCCTCAAGGTCCATCCATGTTGTTTCAAATAGCAGACTTTCCTTCTTTGTTATGGCTGAATAGTATTCCATTGTATCTATATACCACATTTTCTTCATCCATTTATCCATCTATCTTTTCAAGTTAGTGGTTTTGTTTCCTATGGAGAAATACCCAGCAATGGAATTATTGAACCATATAGTAGTTCTTTTTTGAATTTTTTGAGGAACCACCACACTATTTTCTATAGTGGCTGTACCAGCTTGCATTCCCAACAATGCACCAGGATTTCCTTTTCTGGACACCCTCACCAACTCTTGTTATTTCTTGTTGTTATTTTTTTTTATAGTAGCGATTCTGACAGGTGTGAGTGCTCTCTCCTGGTAATTGTGAATTGCATTTCCCTGATGCTGAGCACCTTTTCGTGTGTATGTTGGCCATCTGTATGCCTTCCCACATGTATTATCTTTTAATCCTCCAAAATCAACTGAGGTGTACAGAGGTTGCGTGACCTGCCCCTGGTGATGGAACTGGGCAGTAGGGGTGCCCCAGGGGCAAGAGCCATATCCTTATTGCTTAATCCAGTCAGGGCTTGTGACTGTGTGAATAAAGTGACAGTGAAGAATAAAGGTATGATTGGTAAATGTGCGTGTGTAGAGATAGGTTAGAGCTGTGGCCCCAGTAAGAATTGTCTCTCCTCCAAAATTAAATCCATGGATGAATGTGTTACTCAGCTCAGGTTGCCAGAACAGAACTGGGCAGCCTAAACAACAGAAATTTATTTCCTCATAACTCTGGAGGCTAGAAGTCTAAGAACAAGGTGCTGTCAGGGCAGGTTTCTGGTGAAGCGTCTCCTCCTGGCTTGTAGAAAGCTGCCGTCTCACTGTGTCCTCACACGACCTTTCCTCTGTGTACGTTCACAGAGAGAAAGAGATCTCTGGTGTGTCTTCCTTTTCCTAGAGGGACACCAGTCCTGTCAGATTAGTCCCTACCCTAATTACTCACTTTAACCTCAGTTACTTCCTAAACACCTGTCTCCAAATACCATCACACTGGGAGTTGGGACTTCAGCATATGAATTAGCTGGGGGAGGGGTGGGAGTGGGGGGCACAATTCAGTCCATAACAATGCGCTTTGAAGAGTTACCGTGAGCCCTTGAAAACTGTGTACAGCAACTTTGCATCGATGGGAGTCCATCTACACCCAAAAGATAAGAACCACTAAAAGTATTGCAAGTGGACGAAGAGAGAAAGGGTTCACGGACAAATAGAAATGGAACTTGTATTGAGAGGTAGAAGAAAGAGAGATTTCTTAAGATATTATTTTAATTAGTGTTAGAAAGTAGAAAACAAGAGGGGTAGTGGAAAATAAGTATATGGTGGGTATAAGTAGTAGATGGCCTGCCTGAGGCCACAGCATGGGGAGCAGATCTGAGCTAGAACCTGGTATTCTGAGCCCTAGCCCACCCTGTTTCCACCGGCTTCCTGTCTGTGCTGCCTCACAGAAGCCAAAGCCATCTGAGCAAGGCTCCTGGCTGCCATCCTGCTCACTTCATGGATGCTCTTTTCCTTTGCTCTCCTTCTAGAAGTGGAGCAGATCGAGGCCATCGCCAAGTTTGACTACGTGGGGCGGTCCCCGCGTGAACTATCCTTCAAGAAGGGGGCCTCGCTGCTACTGTACCACCGCGCCTCGGAGGACTGGTGGGAGGGTCGTCACAATGGTGTGGATGGACTCATCCCACACCAGTACATAGTCGTGCAGGACATGTGAGTGGGACTCAAGACCTTCTGTGGAGAATGCCGTAATTGATTAGTGATGTCTTGAATGGGCACAGGAATAGGAGTGCTGGGCTGTATGCAAACCATTTGCTCTCGCTGGTATGATACATTGGTCTTTTGTAAGAATGGATTCTTTCTAACTTCGCCTTAAGTGATGATCCACTTAATGAATAAGCAAACTGCTCATCCTTTAGAGCACACAGAGATAGTGCTTGGTACCATTGGCTCACCATCCTGACCCCCGGACAGCCTCCAGGGCATTCATCACCTGCCCTGGTTCTCAGGTTCCACGGGGTCTTACCATATTCCTCTGCCCTCTTGGGCCTTCCCTATACTCAGCGGCCAACCCACTGCCCCCTTCACTGCCCACCATTCTCTTTCCCCCAGGGGGCTCGCTCAGAAGATGCACAGAAACAGTCATCCCCTCATTTACAGTTAGTGGGGTACTATTATTTTTTTCATACTTTTTTTTTTTTTTTTAAGAAAGAAAGACCTGCATCCCAAATACCTAACCCTACCCGAAGACGCAGAAAGTCCACACCTTCTCTTCTTTGGAAGCCATCAAAGGTTCCTACAACCCACTCTCCTTCTGAGTCAGGCCCAGGTGGAACTGATTTGTCAGGGAAGCAGCCACCATGCTGGCCCTCAAGGGAAGGCATAAGCTTTGATGGCAGGGGAGATGGTGGAAACCAGAGAAAAGTCCAGGGCCAGGCAGGCAACAAGAGAAATGCCAGTGGAGGAACCTTGACCGCCACCTCATGATTATTCAAAACCCTGGGTGGGGAGCTGAGGGATAGAGGCACTGTTCTTCCTCCCTTGCTTAGCCCTAAACTGCTGCCCAGGGCCCCACATGGAGACTCAGCTCTCAGTGCTCAGCTTGTGGGCTCCTCCCCCCATTACTCTAGCACTCCCTGTTGTGTTTAGCTTGTCCTAGCCTGGAGCAGCCTAGGGGAGAAAAACCTAGAGGAGGGCCTGAGGCGGAACAGGGTGGTCTCCTGCTGGAGAAAGTAACTCAGGAGGGAGTGAGACAGTGGGCGTGTGTGTGGAGCTAAGGCGCAGAGTGGGAAGGGCCTCATCCCGAGAATGGGCATAAGTTAATCATAAAGTGTGTGTGGATCCACCCTTCGGACAGGTCTCCAGGAGCCCTGCGCATCTGGGCTTCTCTGGAGCAAAGCACTCCCGATTCACATCTGTCCTCCTCCCCAGGGATGATGCCTTCTCCGACAGCCTGAGCCAGAAGGCTGACAGCGAGGCCAGCAGCGGGCCGCTGCTGGATGACAAGGCCTCCTCCAAAAATGACCTCCAGTCGCCCACGGAGCACATCTCGGATTACGGCTTTGGGGGGGTGATGGGCCGGTAGGAAACGCGGATTCATTTTTTCCTGCTAGTGCCATGCCCAGCTGTGTCTGGTTTGGGAGAGGCCAGGGAGCAGAGGGGAGAGAGGGAGGCTATTGTGGCCCCTTGTTCCCTGCAGGATGGGATAGGAGGCACACTGGGGGGTCTGGCTGGAGCTGGCCCAGAATACCAGGCATAAAATCGTCCAGCTTGGAATTGGGGTGTGGAGAAGGAGGAGAAAAGACATATAATGGCAAATCATTGCCTTTTATGTAAAATAGTAATAATAGGGAGAAAGAGTTATAAACAGACAAGTATTTTTCCTACCTCTCTCCAGTTCTTGCACCTCCTCCCCATTTTCTGTTGAAGACCAAGTTGTGTTATATTTAAAAATTTAAGGCTCACATACTCCCTGAAGTGCACTGCACAAACAGAAAACTCACACCCACGCTGTGGTGGGGGTAACTGACACTCAGCTCCACCCACTTATTGGGTGGGAGCACATTTGCCAATTTCTTCCCTTCCCCCTGTGTGGGCTGGGCTGTGTCCCATGACCTTTCTGCCAGGCAAGGAGCTGTGCTTGTCATTCTTTTTTTTTTTTTTAAATATTTTATTTATTTATTTGACAGACAGAGATCATAAGTAGGCAGAGAGGCAGGCGTGGGTGGAGGGAAGCAGGCTCCCCGCTGAGCAGAGAGCCCAGTGTGGGGCTCGATCCCAGGACCCTGAGATCATGACCTGAGCCGAAGGCAGAGGCTTTAACCCACTGAGCCACCCAGGCGCCCCTGTGCTTGTCATTCTGCCTGCCCCTGTGGTCCAAAGAATGTGGCCCTTAAAAACTTTTAAGAAAAAGAAGAAAAGAGAAGCTGACAGTTTCTCGCTGCTTTCTCAGTCAGATTCTCAAAATGTCATAGTCTTCATTTTTTTCGTTGGAGAGGTCATGGGATCAGCTCCCACATATAGGTACTTGCAGATAGAGCCTGAGATACAGTCGCAACACGAACATATGTTTATGAACTTACTTCGGCAGAAGTCTCCGTGCCTCCTTTCCATATATTCTGTTCAGTTCAGCAAACAGCAAAGGCACCATGATAGGTAATGGAATTGGGGCCACAATGGAAGTCTGGGGTAGGTAGAAGACAAAGCCATGGTTCCTTGAATTCTAAGAGGGCCATACCTTCTCCTGCCTCACTCTTCCTCTCCCTCTTCCCTCCCTCCCCTACTTTATTCTGGTTCTTTTCTTTCTCCATGTTTCCTCCTCTCCAACACCTATGCTTTGGTCCTGTTGGGGTATGCACGGGCAGTGCTTAGCTTGGCTGGTGGCTCTGGGATCTGAAGTGCTGCTGACCACTTTGAACTTGGCCCTTTAGTCACAGTCCATTCCAACAGTCTGCCCCTCCTTCCCACCCCCTTGCCACTTCCAGCCTCCCCTCCCTTCAAATCTTTGTTGACCTCCCTAGAATGTGGCAAAATCGCCCATGGGTGGAGCCTGTTATCTTCAGAGTGCTTTCACACCCACCAAAGCTCCCTGGAAGGTGGGCAAGGAATGTTATGTCCATTTACCAGATCAATAAAGTGGGTCTGAAAGAGGACACAGGAAAGTTTGTGACAAAGCCAGCCCTCCTGATAGATACTCTAGTCCCCTTTTCACTCCCACAGAGCCTCCCTAAAGAGTGAAAGGTAGCCAGATGCATGGACAAGGCATGTTGAGTTTTCACTCCTGAATACCTAATTTTCCAAGATCTGGAAAAGCCTCATAGAAATCGCCCTTTGCTGGGGAGATTGGGGGTGGGCGACAACACTGGACTATGTTCAGTTCCCAGGGTCCCCCTCCTGTGCTTACAGGGAACTGGTGACTTTTCGGTACAGTCAAGCCTCAATGCTTCAGACCAATTAAGAAGTCCTTCAGAATCATGGAAATGTCTGAACCACTTAAGAACATATCATGAGCCCAACTAACCATCACCAAAGCATTCTCAGGTTGAAATTCTCCTGGCCTTGACTTGACGTGTAGACAAGTTTTGTTTTGTAATTAGTAGCACCACCGTCTGCAGTTTGGAAAGCAGAATGCTTCCGATTCCTTCGCGTGTGCAGATTAAACCTGCCCCTTGCCACTGAGTTACCTACTCAGGCTGTGCTTTTGTTGCATAATTGAGTTTGGCTGAATGAGGCTTTACTATACCTGCTCCCTAGACTAGTGTGTAGTGTGTGGCCTGGGGTTAGCTGATCCATTCTGAGACTTGCCAGGGTTGACCTCTGCCCCATGCCCCTGCCCCCTGGCTCCTTTGCAGAGTGCGGTTACGATCTGACGGAGCGGCCATCCCCAGGCGCCGAAGCGGGGGCGACACCCACAGCCCACCCCGGGGCCTGGGCCCCAGCATAGACACGCCACCCCGGGCCGCCGCCTGCCCCAGCAGCCCCCACAAAATCCCCCTCACCCGGGGGAGGATCGAGAGCCCTGAGAAGCGGAGGATGGCGACATTTGGGAGTGCCGGCAGCATCAACTACCCTGACAAGAAGGCTCTCTCGGAAGGGCACTCGATGAGGTCAACATGCGGCTCCACCAGGCACAGCAGCCTGGGGGACCACAAGTCCCTGGAGGCTGAGGCCCTGGCAGAAGTAAGGGCCAGTGGGAAGGCAGGCTGGGCCAGCTGAGAACCCCAGAGGGCGGCCGGGTGGGAGCCTGCAGACTGGGGAGCCACTTTGCCCTTCACACCAGGCTCAAGGTTAAGCAAGGTGGCTTCCTGTCCCCCTGCTGGCCTCCCCAGGGGAGCAGAAGCTGGATGGGTGCAGCATGCCTGCCCTGGGGGCGGGTTGGTGAGAGGGATGCGGTAATGGCAGGTGTCTCCATAAGATGGCTCATTCATTCATTCGTCTGATCATTCATTCATTCATCTGTTCATTCATTCATTCCTTTGTTGACAAATATTGATTGAGCCACTGTTGTGTGCCAGTCACTGCACTAGGCACCGACAGTACAGTGATGACCTAAAATGGCCCCAGACCCTGCCCCCGGCTGTCCCATCTTCCCGGAGCGCCTTTCTGCATCCCCACTCTGCAGATTGCTGCATTATCTCTCAGACTAATGCAAGGCTCATGCCTAAACCACTCAGCTGCTCTTTCTCTGAGCTTTCTGTCTTTCTGGCTCACATTCTGCCAGGGTAGAATGGTGGTGGGGATGGTGGTAGAGGGGTAACCATTGCATTTATTTTTTACAGTTTTACCTTTCAGTTCATGCTGGAGCACTGCAGAGAGAACAGTGAAGTCCATAGGGGACTTCATTTAAGCGAACGGGACACAGAAAGCGGGAGTTATCACTGCCGGGCTGGGATATAGTAAAGATGGGGAGAGGACTGCCATCTCTCCCCTATATAGACAGTCCCCCACAGCTAATCCTTTGGGTAAAAGAACAAAAATCCCATTCTTAAAGTAGCTAGTGTTCTGGGCAAGGGATAAAATGTCATGAAGAAGCATAAAAGTTATTAGCCATTAACCAGATATCCCATAGTCTCTTAGCAAAAGGGATAGGCAGGGACCCTGCTTGTGCCAGATTGGAGCCTGTTTGGGGGCCCCAGGGCAGGCAGGAGGCCGCCTGTGGGCTGGGGAGGAAAGAGGGTACAGGGGGACGTGGCTGTGAAAAGGGGCTGGAAGAACATCTCCAGGTCCCAACTCCCATCAGTGTGACCAGACTTGCAATTTTTCTGGCTTTGCCTCAGGGCAAAAAAGGGAATGTGTCCTAATAGTGCTCAGGGTCACCAGGGGTTGTGCACCGCCCCATCCTGTAGTGATTTTAAGTAATATTCCCTGTTGTCCCCTCAGCAGCCAGGTCGATTGGGCTGTGCCCTATTTGTGTGGAGGCATCCCTGCAACAGCTGTGTGAGCCAAGATCTCTGGCTAAAGGGAATGTGGAACCACTGCCAGGCAGTTCACAAAGTTCCATCCCATCCATTATCTCATCCCATCTTCACAGGAAGTGAAGGTTTCAGCAGAGAAGCAAAGCCTGGTGCACAGAGCCTGAGACTTGTCCAAGGTTACACAGCCAGCAAATGGCAGAGGGGTCTTCCTGCTAAAAAAATCCAGGCCCTTTGCCCTAGCTCAGAGCTCCTGTTTTGAAAGCTGACTTCCAGCTGCAGCGCCCCCTCCTGGCTCAAGGAGGAACAGAAGCCCTGGGAAGGTGGAGTGATGAGCCCAGTCCACCAGGCAGCCCCACCGCGCCCAGATTCTGGACTGCCTCAGTGGGTCTCTGTGTCATTCAAAGTGCTCTCATTCTGGTGAGCTCTTACTCTCCAGGAATTACATAGGCAGGTGAGAGCGGTTTTGTTGCTTTTTAAAATTTACAATTTTGAAAAAAGCAAACTTTTCTGATTACAATACAGAGAAGAATGTGACAGTTGCATTATTCTGGAGTGAACATTGTGGGATATTCTAATATATAACCACCAAGGAATTTTTCAATGGGTGAGGATATTTAAAAAAATTAATAATTGTAGGGTGCTTTGCGGGCTCAGTTGGAAGTGTGTGCAACTCTTGATCTCAGGGTTGAGTTCAAGCCCCATACTGGGGGCAGAGATTACTCAAATAAATTTTTTTAAAAATAACAATAATGGTTAGAGACCTGGGCTCTAAGTTGAGACTTGGGCTATGTTACTGACTAGCTGTGTAACCTTGAGCAAGTTGCTCAACCAGGTGGAGCTTCAATTTTCTCATGTGTAAAATGAGTGTAAAGGTAGTTCCTACCTTATAAGTGTGAGGATTAAATGAGCTGCAAAAAGGAAGGGCTTGGATTGGTGCTCTGTCATTACCACTGTTACTGCCATTATCATTGATAATGTGTGCTTACCGTCAGGAGCCATGCCAACCTCTTCACAGGGACTGTTTCATGTAACATACTCATCAGCCCCCTGAGGTCGTGTTATCATGATCTGTATTCACAAATGAGGATTCTGAGGCTCAGAAAGGTGAGCTAACTTGCCCAAAGTCACCTAGCAAGGAAGAAGCAGAGCCAGGGTTGGAACCCGTGTCTGTCTGACTCCAGAGCCTACCAGTAGTCTCACCTGCCCTCATTGCAGTCGGCTGCCTGTGCAGGCAAGTGCACAGGTGATGCCCACACGGATTCCCTCAGTTGGTCGTAGGACACCCTGGAGGTTTCACCTCCATCCCAGCCACGAAGCTCGTGTGTGCGGACACCACCCTAAGAAGCCCATAGGCCGATTAGCAGCTGGTCTGGCGCCCAGGCCTCCAGCCTCTGTGCTGACCAGAGCTCTTTCCCTCGGCAGGACATCGAGAAGACCATGAGCACGGCTCTGCACGAGTTGCGGGAGCTCGAGAGACAGAACACAGTCAAGCAGGCGCCAGATGTGGTGCTGGACACCCTGGAGCCCCTGAAGAACCCGCCAGGCCCCATCAGCTCAGAGCCCGCCAGCCCCCTCCACACCATCGTCATCCGTGACCCAGACGCCGCCATGCGCCGCAGCAGCAGCTCATCCACCGAGATGATGACCACCTTCAAGCCGGCCCTGTCTGCCCGTCTGGCCGGCGCGCAGCTGCGCCCGCCTCCCATGCGGCCCGTGCGGCCAGTGGTGCAGCATCGCTCCAGCAGCAGCAGCAGCTCGGGTGTGGGCAGCCCGGCTGTCACGCCCACCGAGAAGATGTTCCCCAACAGCTCAGCGGACAAATCGGGCACCATGTGACCTACAGGACGGGGCGGCACCGCCCTGGCCCGCCGTGCGTGGCCCGCCACGGCTGAGGCTGGCCTCTCTGACTTCGGCGGCCTTCCCGGGGCTCCTGGCCTTGTCCAGCAGGGACCAGAAGGTCGCCTGGAAGCGCGTCTGTGCAGAGCTGAGGCCCAGATGCTGGCCACAGCTCACGTTCAGCCATGTGAATCCCACAGACCTCCCGTGTGTAAGCAGGCATCCAGTGGGCTGCAGGAGGCCCCCAGAGAGCATCTCCTGAGCTTGGGGCAAAACGGCCGATGGCTTCCCCGCATATGGTCACTGGAAAATTATTCTCTCAACGTTCTCTCTGCATACATAAATATGTGTGTATATATATGTGTGCATATATACACACATACATGTATGTATGTGTCTGTAGGTGTGTGTATATATATATATTTATGCATCTATATACATATACTAGATCTGGACACACGACTAAATGTATATAGGATCTCCTTTTTTCTTTTTATGAAACTTAGATTTACCTCAGACCCATGCCACCAAACACCTCCCGCTGAGTTACTTGGTGGGACTTGCAGGGACCTTTCTGGGAGAATTTAGAGGCCTCAGTGACTGCGAACGAAGCAATACACCACTAACTTGCAGAAAAACACACAAAAATAGTCTCCCACTGTCTCCAGAAGTTGTGGCCTTCCAGAACAGTCTGCCCCTAACGGAAGGGTGGGGCAGGCAGTACCCCAAGCAGGCTGCTCCTAGAGGTGGGGAACCCTTCACAGAACCCCCCCGTCCACCCCAGAGACCCTGCCTTTCCACCCAGAGGCCGAGGGCCAACTGTACTCCCGAAGGCACGGGAGGGTGTTGGTGAGATAGCCCCTGACCACAACATCCTTGTGTTTGTACGTAGATAAAGGGGATAGTGAGAACCTAAGCCCCGTCGTAGCACAGTGTTCTGTGTGGTTGGGAAAAAGAAAAAACAAAAACAGTGGTGTGAAACACTTCAAAACCTAGACACGATGTAGGAATAAACCTGTGGTAACTATAGAGGTTTAACTTATACCATTTTCAAAATATTTAATTTTTCTTTTCTTCTTTCTACTAATTATACTGTGTCAGATCTGGAACTAAACAGGCAAGGAGGCTTTCAGTCATATCATTTTAATTTAAAATCAGTCTGTGACCTACTTTGGCTGGTGCCCTCCTGTGTGAGGCGCAGGAGCCTGCCAGCAGGGGCCAGAGAGGGGCCGTCCTTTCTGACCCAGAAAACACTCTGGTTGAGCTTATGCAGGTGAAATGGCTTCCCTCTCTCCCCTTCCCTTCCCAACCGCTGCTCCCCACTCCCTACCACCACCTCCAGAGCATTTAATGTAATCACAAAATATGGTGATAGAACCAAGGTGAGTGACTTTTAGGAATGAGGAGGAGACTTCTGCTTCTCACCTGGGAAAAGGACTTCTGGATCACTCTTGTTCCATTTTACTTCCTCTTTTGATCTCTTTGTTTTCCAGAGATAGGCTGTTTCTGGCTAACGGAACACAGACAGGTCAGATCCTATGGGGACCACTTTTATTCATCCCCTCATGCCAAGCCAAGGGTCTCCTCCTTATTGTTCTCAAGCTTCCTTTCTTTTTCCTGAGGCCTCTGAGTGGCGTCTCCATGGCTGTGGTTTGGAATCAGAAGTCCTGTGTTTTGAGTCTCATTCCCCACCCCATAGGAGCTGTGGGACTCTGGACATGTCACTCCACCTCATTGAGCCCCAGTTTCCTGCTCCAGAGAATGAAGGCAATAAAGGTAAAATGTAAAGGAGCAAAGCTCTAAGCTGGAAAGCACTGTGCCAACATGATTGCTCTTTTCATTATCATTAGTAAGGTAAGTCTTTTAGATCAAAACCCATCCAGGACCTTCCTTTTGAAGTCTCCTAATGGCATTTGAGAACGGGGTGGTGGAATTTTCCTAACAGTTTCATAGGAGCCCTAAAGCACAGCCCTACAGAGATACCACTTATTGATGCTTGAAATTCTGTCATGACCATTTCACCCCACTGGATTAAGTTTCACCCCCTCCTCTGGTCCTCCATAAAAAGGTAAATACACCCCAGGGGGAGGGACCTATTAAGTCACTACTACCTGGGTGTGTGGGAGTGGTAAGCCATTACATTTTGTCGGAGGGATTGGCAGTTTGCACATTCAGTGGAAAAGTCGAGAAAGGGCACAAAAAGAGTGTCAGAGAGAGATCAGTGACAAACTCGACCTCCTTGTTTAGCCTAAAACCAATCATTCTGTTTGAGCTCCGGGAAATGAAAGAGCCTCAGAACCAGTTAGGAGCCCCTCCATCTTTGAGCAGATGATGACATCCCCATTTTATAGCTTAGCAAAGAAAGCAAGGCCTTGGGATGTGCTGTGACGTGCCCAAGATTTAATGGATGGCCGGGAGTGAGGGCCGTGTCAGGCACTTCCTTGCAAGGACGCTATGCTGTCCAACCAGGACACAGGCTTCTCATTTCTACCCCAGAGATACTCCCACACCTTAATGCAGTAGCCTCCTGTGCAAAATGTCACATTCTCTGCCATGACTACAAGATGAAAAGAAAATTTGAGTTGACGAATCTGTTGCTTGATATACAGAACACCAGTCAGACCATGTGGCTTTTCCTATGAATTGACTGCATCTTTTCCTTCCTGAAAATGGATCTGCCCTTAACCAAATGACCTAAAGGCAGAGCCTTAGCTGTTTTCTTTGAGCACCTATTTTTCCATTGGGAAACGGCTGATGAGTTCACATTTAGGGAAGCTCACACCCCATTCATCCAGCCCCAGATCCGATTCTTGACACAGAACCAAATGGAAAAATCCTTTCCTGCACCACGCCCCCCCCCCACTTCCTCATTCGGCACTATGCATGTCTCCGCCACCCTCCAGGCGCAACCCGGTCCCATTCATGGTCACGGAGCACTGGCATTCTCTTCTTGACTCCTGCCTGTGTTAGTCCACTATATATTGCTGTATTTGCTTAAATGCTGGAAAGTAACTGTTAAAATGTGAAACTGTAATTTTTAAAAAGGCTACGATTAAATTATAGCCAATGCCACTCACCAAATCTTTGCACCTAGTAGATAGATCAATGTAAAAAACAAATACCAGAAACCTAACTGTACAGTGAGTGTGGGGGAAATGTAGTAACCTAGTTAGTAGTCCTCAATATAACCAATTGTACAAGGGGGAGTGGTGTTTACCTACTTGTTCATCGCCATTACTGAGAGCTATACTGATCAGTTTGTTGATAACGGGCATTTTATTTTTTTTTTCTTCACGGAATGATTTCTTTTCTTAACCTTCAACTTACCCTGAGGTCAAGCTTTCTGTCTTTATGTGTAACTGATGTTTAGTCTATTTTAGGAATGAACCAGCAAGATGTTCATTTAAAACTGACCAAAGACAATTCATTCCTGGTCTAGTTTCCTGGGCCTTGGGGCCCAGCCACCGCTAAAGACCTTTCTCCGATAAAATTGAGAACAAGCAGTGCTTCCTACCCCACTCTCCCTCTCTCCCTTTATTCCCCTTTCCTCTTAAAAAGCTGCTCTGAGCTGTGGGATTCTATGAAAAATTCTTGCCTTTCCTTGTTTTCAGTGCTAACGATTTCTCACCTTGAAGCGCCTTTTGAACCCCGGACAGAGCGCACAACTGGAGGGAATTGTAAGCTTGGGAATTAGACTTGGGAGTCTTTTCTCTGAGGTCACCAGGCCAAGGGGCAGGAGAGAAATGGATTCCCAAGGGATGAAAGGTTTCTATTCAATGAAGAAATCCGAGTGGGAAGAGACGCAGGGAATCGGAGCCAGCATTTGGCTCCCGGCTGGAACCAGCAGCTCAGAGATCTGCCTTATTAACACTTCAGAACTGGGTTGTGGTACACGAAGGGGAGCCAATGTGGGGAAGAGCCTTATGTGGGGCCAGCCTCTCTGTTGAAGTCCCTTGGAGTGCCTTGTTGGGTATATTTCTTTCTCATTCAGGAGGCATGAATGCAGAGGACTTCCTGTGGCCTGGTGGCTCCTTGGCACTCAGCACACGTACTCGGCTGATGGAAAACCACAAGGACTAATGTGATGGTTCTTCCTCTCAGTCTTTCTATTCCTAACTTTTCACACATCCAGATGGTTCCACACTTGAGCAAATGCCTCATTCTCCTGAGAATCCCAGAAAGAAGAGTGGCTGGTTCACAACCATGGCAGGGGGGCCCCCCGCTGGCCTTGGGAGGACGGGCGGGGAGGACAGGGCAGGAGGGGGTGAGCGAGGTGTTGCTTAGCTGACTTTCTGCTATGCAGAGCTAATGCTGATGTTTCATGTCAACTTCCCCGGTTCTCTGGGGCCTCCTCTCCTCGGAGCAGCCGTGTAGAGAATTCCCCACATACCCAAAGCTGCCCCGGGGGAGCTGAGAGAAGGGACTTCGCTGTTGTGTTGGACTCCTCCTGGCTTCTCTGAGGTCGGTCTTGCCAGCATCCCACTCTCCCATCCTCTGGGACTGGCCGAATGACCACCGCTGCCCCTTGCCAACACCACCTTCCTGTGTGAACTGTCCCAGGCAAATAACAAAGCTGTTCCTTGAACCAGAGCAACCAGAGTGCACTTTGCCTCCCTTAGACGGAAGTAGATTCTGGCTAGAGTTTCGGCTCAGACTCTAGTTCTGGGCAGTGTGACTGTTTACACGGTTTGGCAATAGATTTGGTTCTGATTGCTTCAGAGTGGCTGGTCAATTTAGTTTCCTTTGGTTTCCTTCCTCCCCAGACTGTGTCAGGAAAAAAAAACAAAAAAACAAAAAACAAACAAAAAAACAACCCTAGGAAATTGCTGGTTGCCTGTCCCCACGTGATGATAAGTGTCACCCTCTTCCGGATATCGTTTCTCTACCTTAAAAACCAAACGCCCGTCCTATAGAGTGTCTGATTGGATCCTCTGTTGCGTATTCTGATGGTGCCTGCTGGTTTGACGTGGAGCTATCCTGTGAAATAAAACAGCTTAACT